ATCACTTACAATACTTCTTTTTTTTTTAGAAATTTTGACGCAAGTGGTAAAAAACAAATGTCTTCTCCAAATGCGACTACCGTAGTTGGATAATCTTTACAGATTGTATCTAAATTCAGAGCAATATATACTCAAAGAGCTTAGAAAAAAGTAAAAGAGTTCCATAAATTTTTTTACTTTCTCAGTCACCATTACTGTTTATAGCATTGTCTCCATCTCTTATAGCACTAAAGAATTGGATCATATCTCCACAAGCTTCTGTATTTATAAGATTTTTACTTTTTCTAAACATTCTAGATGAAAAATTTTTTGTTTAATATATACACATATATACAGGGTGTTCGATAATGACCACATAATCTGTCAGGTAGGTAAAATGGATTAAACTGAATTAAAAAGTTTTCATTTTGTAATTTTCGCAATTTTTTAAAATTACTTATAATTAATTATTACGAAAATACATAAATTAAAATATGTCAAATTATTTACATATGTGAAATCAGTTGCAATCTACATATTTTTTAACATAACACCAATATTGGACAAAGCAAAAATATAGTACCAGTATCCACTATGACAGATGTTTGTGTTATTATTTGTGTTGAGCTATTCATCAATCCATTTTGGCTTTATTATTGTTTATATATTTTTGTATTTTTAGGTATACATATTTTAAACTTGTACATACTTGGACATCACATGAATTTCCACAAATATGGACGATGAAGACATATTTCTTTTGTCAGTTTTGCAATTATTATGTTTATTGTCCTTATTACAAAGAAGAGAGAGAAGCAAAAGATGGTTACATCGAAGGTGGTGGGTAAGACCTATTAATGTTGCGCGACCTGTATATGGGGATTTTCAGCACCTCTTCCAGGAATTGAAATATGACGATCCTGATATATTTTATCGATATGTAAGGATGAAAAAGGAAATTTTTAATCTTCTATTAAAGATGACAAGTCCTTTTTTAACTAAATTAAGCAAACGTGCATTTAGTCCAGAACAACGGTTGGCTATGACTCTAAGGTATTTATTGCTTTTGTTTTATATAATTGAAGAATAAAATGCACATATGTGATTTGAATAAAGTGTGCACTGATTTTTTTTTAAATACGTAGTAACACTTGGTTTCTATGGTGACATAACATATCATAGAAAATCTAAAGGTTAACGAATACTAAAGGTTATTAGGAAAATCTAAAGGTTAACGAATACTTTCAATACAATTTTGGTCCTTAATGATTCCGTATGCAGTTTTTTGTGTCAATAATTGCAAGAATAGTTTTTTCTTAACCATCAGAATGAAGTACGTTTTGAACAAAGAATGAAATTTCTTATGAAACTTGGAGAGAATGGGCCAGACATTCATAGACTATCTGTAGCATTTTATGAATTTCTAGCATATTCTTCCCGAGTTTCATAAATTTTATTTTCAAAACACCTATTGTGAAAGTTGCAATGGATTCTAATCGAAATTATTCTATTCTCCCTAGAAAACGCAATAGAAATCTAAGGAATAATTGAATAATTTCGATCGGACTCCATTCCGAATAATTTCATTACACGTACTGTGCAAAAAGATACTCTCATAATTATTGATACAAAAAACTGCATGTGTAATCGTTATTGATCAAAATTATACTGAATGTGTTTATTAGACATTTTATTACCCGTAAACATTTTATTACCAACAGAAAAAAATGCCCGAATTTTTTATCCACATCACGTATGTAAAGCAATATTTATTCATGATTATACTTTGTGTTTTTCTAAAATACTTTTGTTAAAGATATTTGGCCACTGGAGATCAAATACTATCCATTGCACTAGCTTATAGATGTGGAGAATCAACTGTCCGAAAAATAATACACGAAACTTGTTCTATTATAGTAAACGTATTACAACCGATTTATCTTCGTTTACCAACAACAGAAGAATGGACAAATATTTGTACTGGATTTTGGGAAAACTGGAATTTTCCTAATTGTGTTGGGGCATTTGATGGGAAACATGTTGAAATACAAGCTCCGCCAAATTCTGGGAGCTTATTTTTCAACTATAAGAAAACTGTTAGCATTGTGTTAATGGCAGCATGTGATTACAAATACATGTTTACACTGATCGACATAGGCTCTTATGGCGGTAACAGTGATGGTGGTATTTTTACCTCTTCTGATATTTATTCAACATTAGTAGATGGAACATTAAATCTTCCCGAAGGCATTGCTAATCTTCCTGAAAGCGATATTCAGTTACCATGCTTTTTTATTGGGGATAGTGGTTTCCCAATTAGTCGTTTTATGATGCGACCTTATTCTGGAAGATTACTCAATGAAAGAAAGAAAATATTTAATTACAGGTAAGTAGTTAAGTATTCATTATTATTATTAGCAGTAGAGTAGTATTAGTAGTATTAACAAAGGTAGTGATATAATTTATAATACAGTAATAGTAAGGCTTGGCTCCCGCGACGATAGGAGGAGGAAATAATATACGAGATTGATTATTTCAAACATTATTTTACACTTTTATGTAATGTATCGGATAGATATCTCAATTTGCCATCATATTTTAGAGGTTCCAAGATTAAGAAATTATTTTTTTAAAGGAAAACTAAAAATAAAACTACGTAGCAAGTAATTCATTGCTCATTTCTGGCATCGTGAAAGAGCCAAGCCGTAATAATAGAAGTAGCAGTAGTAGTTGCTATCATAAAATCATATTTGATCACGACAAATTATTTTAATCTTGTGCATTTTATTGATTTTTAGACTGTCCAGAGCAAGACGTATAATAGAAAATACTTTTGGTATTTTATCTAGTCGATGGAGGATCTATAGGAAACCCATTCATATGCATCCTAAATATGTAGACACAACAGTTATGGCAACTATTTGTCTGCACAATTTTATTAAGTCTGAAGAGAATTTTATACAATCGGAGTCTAGAATATATTGTCCTCCTAATTTCATAGACTCTGAAGATGAGGCTGGTAATATAATTCCTGGTCATTGGCGGCGAGAAACTGAAAATGTCCTCAGAAATATACCTCCCTCATCAATGCATCATGCAACTTCAATTGCATATAAGCAACGCGACAAGCTAGCTGATTATTTTATTTCACGACCTGGGGAAGTTTTTTGGCAATATGAATATGTTAGAAGAGGACAGCATTGTGATGATCCCCAATAATAACATATTTTAAATGTAATATAATTATACGAACGTGTTATTCAATTATATTTTCAACATTTTTTCTTTCTTATCTCATAGATAACCTACTCTAGAATTTTGCGTTAAATTTGGCATTTCATTATATTAAAAAATTAGACATTTTTATGCTAACTTGATTTATTGTAAAACCACCTTCGAAATTAAATTGTGTGTATATTAATTGTATTGTAAATCGTGCTTAATTTTCTGATAGGTAACTTTGAAATAAAATCCAACGATTTAGAGAAACAGCCATTTATTTATCATTATCCCTATCGCTCTCTTCTGTATATTATTAATACATATAATATTAGTCTTTTAGATCATATGTCATATCACGTAAAGTATGTATTATATATATATATAGTAATTTTACTGTAACAAATTTACTTAAAAACTTAAAAGATTAAGTTATATCAAATATATATTAAGTCATTTTTTACTGCAATATTAACTTAAATAATTCATTTTTCAACAAAACTTTGTTTCTTATCAACATTGTTGAATGTTAAAAATAAAATCACAGACAGAAAAATGCACAAAACTTTGAATTAGGTTAAATAATTGCACTGTATCCTTCATTCCTAAAAAAAAACAAAAAATCTGCAAAATGGAGAATCCAAAAAAAATGAACCTGGATTTGACTGAAAGATCACCAGCTGATTGATACTTTTAAAAATATTAGTTGTTGAACAGTAGGAGTTTGATCATACTTTTACAGATCATATATAATTCGCAATATTTGCTTCTTTTTTTCTGTTTTTTCAGATTGGGGTAAATTTTTAAGTAAAGATAGTATAAGCTGACAAAAAGTCAAATCTTCTTGTACTTCCGAGTTGATAGATAGCGTCGATGAAGTTGTAGAGTATTTGTTCTCGAGTAAAGAGGTAACTTTACAAATTGTATTCTGTAGAAGATCCTGTTCAGACTTTCCTTTTGGTTTTATCCGCAATGTACTCAAATTTTGTTTCTCAAAATCGGAGGCGTTTTTTCTCTCAAAATCAGATGAACGGATGTTAGATGAACTACAATGAAATAAATGAATTTTCAAGAAAATATGAATACTTTACGAATATATGTATATACGCAACATTCATAAAATCACATTTTTAAAGAAATATATACATACATATACAGGGGACTCATTTTTATCTAAACTGGCAAATATTTCGAAAATATGGAATTTTACTAAAAAAAAACATTCCAAATAAAAGTTGTATGGTATAGAGAAGGGCGTCACTATTTTATGTCCCCCTCTGTACCGCACTGCTATAATTTAGAATTTTTTTAGTAAATTGCACATTTCTTAAGATTTTATTGTTAAGATTAAAATGAATCACCCTATATGTGTGTATGTATGTATGGGTATTAAACAAAAAAATTTTCATGCAATTAAGTTTATAAAAAATAAATATTTTACAAATAAAAACTCTTTCGGAGATACTGACTCTGTTTGTTTTTCAATAGATACTACAGGAGATGGAGACGGTGTTTTAGAGAGTGATGATGATAGCGAAGGCGAAAAAGTTCGTGGAACTACTTCATTACTGTCTGAGTCGAATCTAGCCTCTTTAAATATATTTTGCCGTGAATTTGGATTGCAATCTATTGAAACCTGTCTAATTGAGGTAGTCACGTTCGCAGGAGACAGGTTTTCTTTTTCACCGCTTGCGCCAAAGTTTCTAAAAAAAGAATTTTATTATTCATTTGCAAACACATATGCATTTTGTATTAAGACTACATTTCAAAATGTCCTGTCCAAGGAAAATTTTACTTGATATTTTATAATAAACGTTACACGTACTATATATTTCGAGTTAAATTTTCCTCGAAGAGGACGTTTTGGAATGCAGACCTAGATTGTAAATGTTACAAACTGTTCAAGACTGTATCCTGTTGACGGAGGCGTACTTATTTGCACGTTTGAGGAATTCTGCAATAAATTATTTTTTTCATTTTTTGCGCCAAAGTTTCTAAAAAAAAGAAATTTTATTTTTGATCGCAAACTAATATTTTCAATGTTATATTGAAATTAAAAATTAGCAAATGTTATTAACTTTTTAAGATTGCAGTATCTTGCTGATGGAGACACATTTCTTCTTTGTACGTTTGTCATCGTCCTGAAAGAAAAACAATATGAAGAGATTGCTTATTGATGTGAGAGATTGCTCCTCACATAAAGTTTTCAGAAGAATGAAGGGTAAATATGCATTTTAGGCGACACTTCACTGATTTAAATGTCTTTTAGATATGTTCTAGAGGAGTGTCCTGACTGATTTCCTGCTATAATTAAAATTATGGGAGGTGGCATTGGTTTAGGAGACATAGTAAATTGAAGTTCTATAATATGTAGAAGATATTGGTGTAAGGGGTATAATGCGAAGTAGTGAAGTTTGTATATACCGCACTAATCTCTTAAAAAATGTAAACAAAGACTTGAAGCGACTTCCATCCCACCTCCTTCCCTACTTTAAGAACGCACGACTTCCACACGAAACGACTCTCACTTTTCCTCCTCCCTACAAAGGGACGCGCGACTTTCACACAAAGCGACTTTATTATGAAACTTTAATTTATCATATATCCTAAACCAATACCATCCCCCACTCAATTTTTGCAGGAAATTGCAATCTTAATGTAATATGGAAATTTACATTAGTAAGCAATATCTTTCTCTTTGCATGCTTAAAACTACATTATTCAAGTATGACTGCTTCTTAGAAGAACCTGCATGATCCTCAAATATTCAATATATGCTGTTCAGAAACATAAGCAATGCCGCTAGAAACAGACGGAATACCTCCACTCTCTACTATACCTTCTCTTTTTGACGAAAGGATCCAAGAAGTGCATGTTATCGAAAAATTCGAAGGTCTTTCGCTTTGAAACTCCGCTTCCGGTTGTCGTTTCTTCTTGTTTTTGTTTCTTCTCTCGCGAATAACGCTCCCTTAGCCTTGTCCATCTAGTATGACACTCATCCACTAGCATTGAATATTATTTTCATTGAAAATATTTATTTAAAAAATAAATAAGTAAACTAATAAACTAAATAGTCAATACAAAGGATCCCACACTAATCTTACAGAAAATAGGATTCAATCGAATTGGTTGAAATTTTGTAGTCCATGATATACTCAGGATATTTCAATTAATTGGACTGGAATCCATTTTTCATACGATTTGTGAGGATTTTTCATTTAGTCTAGTAATTTTCAATAAAAAAGTCATTAATTTGAATAAAATTTCACTTATTCAAATTAGTCAAGTTCTCAATTAATATTATTAATAAGACTCAGAAGAATAAATCTTTGTAACAAATGAAATGCCTGTAACGAGCCGACACTAGGTGTTGATGTGTATGAAATATTTTATTGTATAGATGAGGTTTAACACATATGTATAAATGTTTCGACTCCTGGTTTGAGTCCTCCTCAGTATATAAAGTACATAGTCGATACCATTATGTTAAGTTGTCATAAATTGATTACATGTTCCATTCTAATCCTACATCTAATTGCTAGAATAAATGTATCTTAGATTATGACATTACAGTAATCCTTACGGCACATTCTCCACTTATTGAAAATTAATATATACAAGAGTGTGAGAATATATGTGGTACTGCTAGTTCAAATGTTAACGTTAACATTCTATATAAACAATAATAAAGCCAAAATGGATTGATGAATAGCTCAACACAAATAATAACACAAACATCTGTCATAGTGGATACTGGTACTATATTTTTGCTTTGTCCAATATTGGTGTTATGTTAAAAAATATGTAGATTGCAACTGATTTCACATATGTAAATAATTTGACATATTTTAATTTATGTATTTTCGTAATAATTAATTATAAGTAATTTTAAAAAATTGCGAAAATTACAAAATGAAAACTTTTTAATTCAGTTTAATCCATTTTACCTACCTGACAGATTATGTGGTCATTATCGAACACCCTGTATATATGTGTATATATTAAACAAAAAATTTTTCATCTAGAATGTTTAGAAAAAGTAAAAATCTTATAAATACAGAAGCTTGTGGAGATATGATCCAATTCTTTAGTGCTATAAGAGATGGAGACAATGCTATAAACAGTAATGGTGACTGAGAAAGTAAAAAAATTTATGGAACTCTTTTACTTTTTTCTAAGCTCTTTGAGTATATATTGCTCTGAATTTAGATACAATCTGTAAAGATTATCCAACTACGGTAGTCGCATTTGGAGAAGACATTTGTTTTTTACCACTTGCGTCAAAATTTCTAAAAAAAAAAGAATCCTCGCAGAACGAGTAGTGGGGATAGAAATGAAGGAATCTGATTGGTTTATTCCCTTATGCCTTATGCATTATGCGTTACGGAAAAGCCTGTGCTCCCCGCTATATAGTCAAAGGCCGGCACTGCATGGGCTGCCTAGACTGCGTTCGCAAACATCACTCTGGTGTCTCAGTGTATCATCTTATCCTTGTTTAACAATGAGTGAACAACAAGGATAAAATACGCGGGGGCACTCGGGTGATGTTTCCGAACGCAGCCCTAGAGGCCTAATGCTGGATTCACACTGTATCCGATTTACGTCGTACGACGCACATCGGATACAGTGTGAATCTAGCATTACTCCAAATTAACCCAAAGAGCACTTATGCTGGATTCACACTGTATCTGATTTTCGTCGTACGACGCTCTTCAACCAATCAGAAAACAAAATTCCGATGATAAGAAGCACAACCCATCGGAATGCTGTTTTCTGATTGGTTGCAGAGCGTCGTACGATGCAAACCAAAAAGAACAAGCCTTAGGGTGCCGTCACATGCGGCGTAACCTGCGTAATGCTGGATTCACACTGCATCCGATTTGCGTCATACGTCGCTCTGCAACCAATCAGAAAACTGGATTCCGATGATACGAAGCAAAATCCATCGGAATCCTGTTTTCTGATCGGTTAAGGTCCGTTTCCACCAACGCAGATCAACTTTAATCTCGGTTCAA